AAAGCGGCAAAGACATGCGAATTGATTATATGCTAAGGTGATCTTCGACTTTGGATTCTTTACTCTATGCGCTTCGTCGACGAAGACAGCAGACCAAGCGAGGTCATCCAATAGCGCAATGTCCCGACGGGCAATGTCAAACGTGGTAAGTACTGTTTCTCGAAGTTATCAGGTGGTCGGAGGAGATGGACTCATCGACATACCGACATCGAGTCTGCCCATTTTGAAGTCGGTAAGGACATCATCCCGCTCTCTCTTCGAACCTGTATAAGATCCGACCTCAAAATAGCCCCACTGAGGCGGTCGTGAGACATTGTGGCGTTACTTGTTGCTTGTATGCACTCACCGTCTGAAACTCGCGCTCCCAGTTTGGTACAACAGATGTAGGGGCGATAATGAGACATGTGGGCCAAGTCTTGTTCGCCGGTGGTAAAGTGCGACATTTTCTCCACTCTAGTCCATCCTGAAGATTAGAAACATGATCTCGACGCCTATTGATATCGCGTTCGTCCCCGTGCTTCTTCATTATTGCTGAGAGAAATGATATCACTTGGATAGTTTTACCCTGAGAATGTGAAATGTTCAGGTAAGAAACGAGAAGAACAGATTTGGACTGACAAGACCCATATCATCCCCTAGCAAACCACCTCGACCTTGTTTATATAAATCCCAGAAAAAATGGACGCCTTCCCTCTGGTATTCTCTCAGATAGGTATTGATCGACGCGGGCACCATTATTTTCTCGGCTGTGTCCAATATCATAGGTCCAAGAGGACTCTGACTGGGGGCAAGCGGGAAGCCAGGCTTTGCATGGAGATTCTATATTTATATCAGTAGATGACAATCAGAGAATTATATTAGGCTTCACTGGGTTGGGGTATGTTTCTTCTCCGTCTTCGGGCTCTGTTTCAGAGTCAGATTCTGGAAGCTTCGTGTTGTTGGACGCTGGCTGTTTTGAAACTACGGGTGAATCTATGTCGGACTCTGGTTCGGTTTCGGATTCGTCTGTAGCGGTAGTCAAGATAGGTCTGCATTGGTTGGCCATAAGGTTAAACGTACCATCTAGGCAAGGCATTTTTCTCCGCTTGGAAGCTGGTGTAATCTGCTCTGATTCAGGTGACTTTCGCTTCGCCGAGACATGAGCAACTTCTGGCTCGGACTCAGGTTCTGAAACGAAACATACGCTTTCACAGGTTTGATATGCGAACAAGATGGACTTACCAGTGACAGAATCATCATCAACCGGAGTTTGTGAATGACTTTGCTGTATGACAGGAGTGCTCTCTTTCGACACTTTAATAAACGCAGCTATGGTCCTAAGTATTACCGGTTGATCAGGTTCCGACTCGTGTTCTTCTTCCGAGTCGCCGTCTTCAGGATCGTCTTCATCTGCTTCGCCGTCCTCCGACGCAGATTGCAGTCCAAGGTCATCATCTATTGGAAGTAAGCTTAAGCACTGCTAAGGACATTGCTCAGCGAACCAAAGTACTGCTTGAGTGGGTTATGGCATCGAGACGCCTCTGAACCCATTGGTCGGCGCTTCCCTGATATAATCATCAAAAAGTATTGCGTCGTTATAAAGACGACTCACGACTTCTGGATGATAACTCAAAATTATCAAGAACCTCGCTTCGTCTTTTCCATGACTTGCCACGGGGGGCAGATGGAGACGCGTCTTCGGTAGCCGTTGCTTTGCGGTTTCCGCGTTTCTTAGTCTCATAAACAAAGATTCCAGGGTTAAATTCAGGATCTGAATCAGGATCTGTATCAGAGGGTAAAAATTACTGATGAAATCGCCAGTGTCGTTTCGTGCAAATTATGCAGACCTAGGGGTGCAGGGACAGATTCGAGAATCCCTGCTTATAGTCAGCTCGCGAGCTAATCCCGAGGAATAAAAACTTACTTTTCCCGTATGTAGCAGCTCGCAGTGGCATCTTTAGCGACCAAATATCAAGTCACTGGATGTCACGGTGGTGTGGGTGAGAGAAAAGGAGAACACCGATTTTGGCCCTCTGGCGCGTTCTATATTACGCATCACGTGATGGTTTGCATCAGAATCATGTGACCACGAAAGCCTTCAAGTTCAACGTCGAGTGCTGTCAGGTGGGAGTCTACACAACTCCAACAACTTGCGACACAAGGGTTGATCATACAGAAGTACAATCTTTTCTAGAGTAACGAGAGACAACATGCAGAACATAAATGTGTAACAAAACACACATGAATAGCAACACGAATGAAAAGGAGGGCAAACGGTACGAGGGCTCGTGGGGAGTGCATTACGAGTGTCGCGTGTTTCGCATAGGAAGTTAATATACTCAACTGACATCAAAACGACTTATGGCAATTATGTTAGAAGAAAGCGGAAAGTGCCTTCGTATGTACAAGGAGACAGGGAATGGGAGATCAATCTTCCTCTTCATCGACTTGTTCTTCCCCATCACTTTTCTCTTTTGCTGAAGATTTGGTCTGCAAAAAGATGTTCAATGCGTACCACGATGTGGACAAATAACATAACATACAGCAGCCATGGATGCTTTCTCCTCCTCTGCCCTTGTTTTATCCTTGGCGGCCAACTCGATATAAGGCTGTCAGTTCTGTCAGCACCAACCGCATGTTGTCTTATACCTTGGACGAACCTGCTTGTCCTCCTCGTCAAGCTCCTTCCACTTGGCACCTAGTAGTTTGCCAACCTCACCTGCAGTGGGGATCAGAAAAGAATAAAAGATTGAAAGAAGCGCCATAGGCATACCGAAACCAGCATCTGGGTTCTCAGACTTGATTCTTTCTCTCCAATCTTGACTGAAGAACATGTATGCGGAGAGCGCCCGTTTAGGAGCGCCCTTGGCCTTGGCAGCCTTGGATTTGGTTGCCTTTCCCTCTGATTTACCTGCAGCCTTGCGCTGTTAAATCAATCAGCATCGTGGCTGATGAGCACGACCAAGTGACGTAACGGAAGTTAAACAGGGCAAAAAGAATGGAAAGTGTATGGTGCATATGGAGAAAAGTGGTATTAAGGCCAAGAGAAATGCATAGGAGACTAACCTTGGTTTTGGTGGTGTCCTTGGGCATCTAGAGCGTGGAAAACGCATGAGCGATCAATTCAACACGTCGTTGGCATGAGAGATATTGAGGAAAACGAGTGCGACGCGGAAAGACGCGGTACGCGTCAACGCGTCGGTGGCCAAACAAATACGGCCGGCGCCCGTCTTCACTTTCTACACGGGCTCAACGACGATACAACGACGCAGAGAGCAACAGAGAACAGCACAGGGCATTCGTGAAGCAGATAGAACATAATAAAAAATAAAAAATATGACTGACTGTTGTTGTGTACTACGGTGAGTATTAGCACGGTTTGATTTAGGCGGGTGAGGACCACAGTACAGCTATACAGGCAAGGTTGGCTGAGGGGATGTTTAGCGGGTGGGAGCCTTGTATAAGGCCAGCCACCTTACAACCGTGGGAATAGGGCACGGACTCCTGCTGACATAACCACCACTTCAACAAACCCACGATGCAACGGCCCGTCTTACACACAGCCAAACCTATGGTCTCTTTTGGGTCTCTTTAGCGATAGTTCATCCAGGGCCAGCAGTGACCCAGCTAATTTAATGATGATGGAATCTTGACACACATAAATAGTACGGTCCCAGATGGTATGAATGATGTGAATAAACAGCAGATCTAAACGCAATAATGATACTTAAAAGTAAGCGTCCTTCAAGTCTTTCGCGAACTCTTTACTCACCTTCTAAGACATTTTATCCTGTTCATAATTTTGCCTGCAGTACATTTGATCCTCAGGTTCAGCATCGAAGTCAATGTCAGGTAGACAGAGCTGTCCCAAGCCAAGGTCAGGCAATCGCGCCATTTTGAGTAAGAGACTGAGGCCCTTGTCGCCCTGTCCGTCTCCAGGACCATTGAGAAGGTCCCATGTAAAGTCATCTATTTCATCTGCAGTTCTACCCCAAGTCGTTTTAATTGCACTTGGGTACTCGAACGACGCAACAATGAAGCAGACAGGAGAACCTACACCAATCAGGGCCCTTTCATTGTATTTTTAAATACGAGTACATACAAAGACCTGATATCTCCTGCTCCCGGGCAAGTAGAGGTGAACGGGTTTCATTGACGTGATTTTCGCCATCTTCAGTGAGGTCTGGCAAAATATCGCCGAGACGATAAAGCCGCCGGCATGATGGACAAATGCGACTAGTAGCACGGCTCTTATTGTACCATAGAACCTTGAGGGATCAATTTGTGAGCTTACTAGCTACTCTACATGGCACTCACTATAGCGGTTTCTTCCGGCAGCACGGTACAGAGCATCTGAAGGACCTCCTCCTGTGAGAATTCCGCACATAGAGGGTCTTCTAGCGAGGGAGGCTGGGCAAAAAATGAAGCTAGGAAACCCCGGACGTCGCGAACTCGTGGACCGTTTCCGGGATCATGGATGATTGGTAGTACTTCTTCATGGAGCTCCTGGACATACGGAACAGGTGTTTTAAATGGAGGCTCATGGACAGTACAGACGATGTCACTTGGAGGTGGCTCAAGTTTGTGAACGAGGGGTTCCGGAGATGTAGCTTGGATAGCTGATGTCCTCTTCTTGTTCTTTTTCGCAATTGCCTTCTTCTTCTTTTTCGAGTTGCATGGACCTGGCATTAAGAAAAGGCTCGGAATACCCCAATCAAGAGGAATCCGTGATGAGTGGCACGGAAACAAATCACGAAACGAATCTTGATGGAAAGGAAAGCGGTTGCAATTTAAACCATTACTGGATCACGTATCACGTGTTATATGACGCGACGCGGTTCGTGTTCAATCGTCGAGCTACTTCTACGTCCAAACCAAGGAACGCGGTACGAAAACAGAAACTCGCGTAAGAGTAAATATTTGGTTTAATATTTATCTCACTTTGTATCGTAACATATACACGCCTTCGTTGTCAAACAAATACTCCTGGGTCCCGACTAAAGGACGCGATCCGCACCCATCTATTTCTTCCCCCCGCCCTCTGTGTGCATCCACCGCTTTGGTACACCTTGCGAGGTAAGGAATTCTGTTACCTCCTTGATCTGTTTGCCTTGTACGAGTACTTCCATGCCTGACGACTTCCCTGGGGCCGGTGAAACTGACAGGCACGTATCAGCCACACTTATACGTCACAATAATATTAGATTTCCTGACTTGAAGTTGAGGAGGCACATCTCGTCTTCAGCTCCTCTGCAAGAGTAACCGCCTCCAAAAAAAATGGCTCAAAGCCTGTAATTAGCGTCGTCGCCTTACGACCTTGTCTGACTTTAACAACCACCGATATCGGTTTGATTTGCCCCTTCCTGTACCCGAAGGTTAATAACTGATGACCAACACAATGATAGGGACCAGGCGCACTTGAGCACAGGGTCCCTGCCCTCGGCGCATATCTTGTACCAACTCTGCATCTTGTCTGATAGGCGCTCAATCAGTTGATCGCGTTTGAAAAACTCCATATCCGCTGAATTGCCAGGCTGGCAGATAGTCGTCCGTAGAAGCTCGTCCGCGCCAACGTTGATATATGATTGGTCGTGCGCGTTCACCAATTGTCGGTCAGTGACGTACCTATCAAGTACGGTCTTGATGTCCGCATAGGTGTATCGGGCAGATGTACTGCAAGGGACGTCATCAGCGTTTGATCATGAATCAGGAAATGGCGCTGGTCCATACTCAAATCCAGCCTCGGCAAAGAATTTTAACGATTGAAGATGTGGTTTCCAAAGCTCTGTCACTTCAAGCTCCTTGACTCGCGTCCGCTCCTCTTCTTCTCGTTGTCCACGCTTCTCGTTCCTGAGAGCCACATCTTTTAGAGATAAATATGGTCTGTGTGCAACAACATCTGCATGTGATGTGGCTACAGAAAATACCATCAACTCAGATTTGATCTCTTTAAGCTTTAAGAGGCCTTGTTTCTCTGCTGATTTGAGAAAATACGCAAGCGACTTGTGGGATGAGTGCTTGATATCAATGGGTGCAGATGCGGGTGGCTGAGACGGTGATTGAGCAGGTCGCGAGGGTAGGATGTAAGTCGAGTAAAATGTGCTAGCAGACATGGGAAGCGCGGAGGTCTGGGAGCTAAATAGGGTCGTTTTTATTGCCTGAAGAAGTGCGTCGTGGAGAATATTCGAAACATCTGCCAGGGGTGAGGGATCGAAGACACGATCAATGTAGTTTAACGCACCTTCCTTCGTCAGTTCTATTTTTGGAGCAGGATCATCCAACTGCGTCTCCTCCAGGCGAGAGCTCAGCGTATCAACCAATGGCTCTTTTGATGCATCATTCTCTATGATATCCTCGTCTTGTATGACCTGCTGATCTTTCGTAGCTGTATGGCTCATCTCCCAAGGATCCGGCGGATTTTCCTTGTGTCCCATATCGAATAAATGGTCATTCCAAGCATGCAGAACAAACACAGCCTTTCCCTTTGCGCCAGCGTCAGATAGAACGCCACTATCCACTGCAATGTGCCCGACAGCAAGTGGAGGGCCAATACGCGTTGAATGGTGAATATGTTCCGTAATACTGACAAGTTGCCCAGCTTGAAGTGATGGCGGATACTGAACAACTTACAGGGTCTACTGAGCGAGGACCTATCTGAAATAACAAGTAGTACATACCTCCAGGAATCATGAGATCTGAACCACCAACCAGTACTGGAATCACCGCAGATGGTGTAGACAGAAACGGGAGAAGATCTGGTTTCTTCCACAGGGTGTATACTATCGCATCTAAGCTTCGGACGTCAGACTCGCGGCAGGCGCAGCTTACCAGTCGGGATCATGTCGTCGCTGCCTATCCCAAGCGTAAACCACAATGGGTCTCCACCAGGTCCCAAATAAACCACCTGAGTGCGGCGGCATCGTGCGGGTCTCATTAATATGTGATCAGTAACAAAGAGCTGTAACCAGATTCGCTTACACCTGGATCGTCACTGTATGTCTTGAACTTGACTGACATCAGACCGTCGGGGACAAGTTCCTCGCCGACATCTGGATCGAGGGAAAAGGCTTGGATAATGCGTTGTTTCAGCTTGCGCCTATCAGAGTTACGCAGGGGTGCTTGTGAGTATGACAATGATTAGGTACAATGTCAGTAAAACAGCAACAATCGCGCACCTGAAGTCTTTAAATTCCCCAAAGGCTTCTTGAACATGATGTTCTAAGTATTCGATCGTGGATCTAAGTTACTGGTTCAAGTTCAGCAACTTAGACAAGTCGATTTCTACTAATGGCGCTTCCCGGCGGCATATAGTAGGGTCACGTGTTTTGACTTCTATACATTTTTCCACCACCAGTATCGACTCCACCGCGACAAATCAAAAAATGCCTCGTGCAACTTCAGGACGTTTCTCGCGTACCCACCAGCCCTCAATAAAATCAGCCGCTGCATCATCTTCCTCCAAAAACCATAGTGCAAATGAAGGGACTTCAGCTGGCGTCCGTAACCCAATATTCAATACAGAAAGATTTGGACAACATATCTTGAAGAATCCGCAGATTGCTCAAACGTATGCTCGCTGCGCTCATATAATATAACTCGGGCTGATTTTACATTAGTATCGTAGATAAGGTTTGGTTCAGCTCATATCTGTGCAGAGTCGATCTCAGATGCTTATCGTGACATGTAGGCGAACCTTCTCCCCACTGATAAAGTCCTCGAGGTTGGCCCTGGTACAGGTAACCTTACTGTCAAGATTCTTGAAAAAGCCAAAAATGTCACCGCTGTTGAGATGGACCCACGGATGGCAGCTGAATTGACGAAGCGAGTTCAGGGGAAGTGCGTGTACCTCTCTCTGTCTTAATATTATCGACTGACGGGCTACTCCTGGGAAGACCAGAACAAAGAAAACTCGACATAATTATTGGAGACTTTGTAAAAGCCGATCTCCCATATTTCGATGTATGCATATCCAACACACCCTATCAAATATCATCACCCCTTGTCTTCCGCCTGCTCTCTCATCGACCAATCTTTCGTGTGGCAATCCTCATGTTCCAGAGAGAATTTGCCATGAGGCTTGTTGCTCAGCCAGGGACAGAACTTTGGTCGCGACTATCCGCGAACGTACAGCTTTATTCGAAGGTAGACCTGGTCATGCACGTTGGAAAAAACAACTTCCGACCAGCACCACAAGTCGAATCGTCAGTGGTACGACTGGTGCCTCTGAATCCTCCTCCGCCCATCAAGTTCGAGGAATTTGATGGGCTGGGTAGAATCATCTTTTCGAGGCGAAATAAAATGGTGCATGCCACATTTATGGCAAAAGGCGTCATTGAAATGCTGGAAAAAAACTGGAGGACGTGGTGCTCGACGCAAAATAAGGTGATTTTGGTTTTTGTGCGTTAAAATGGGGACTTAATTATCATAAATCAGATGATCGATGAAGACACAAACATGAAAACTAAAGTAGAAGAAGTCCTCAAATCATCGGGATACTCAAAACAGCGGGCAGCCAAGATGATCCTTGACGATCTTCTAAAGCGAGTCGTCTTCATTTTGTCTCCAATGTTTTCTCATCAGTTAAACAGACTACTATCCGCATTTCATGACGAGGGCATACATTTTGCTTGATATGACTTTCATCGAATGTAGTGTATTGTGCTGGCGAATACACACCCTGTTGCTACACATGTGCCAATCTATGTGGTAATTGGATATTTCACTGTCGATACACAACCCTGGATGCAACTTTCATTGTAGCACTAGGTGCACATAAGATCACCACGAACATTGTACACCGAAAGCAAATCGAATATCAACAACTCTCGCCGCTTACAAGTTGTAAGGTGCAGATACGACACCAACTTCCTCGAATCTCAGACTCGGTATACAACAAGGCCTCATTGGCACCCCGTCTAACCCACAGGACAGTCGTTGTCAGGTGATGGACTTGCATCGATCAGCCACCACCAATATGCTGGTTCACCGCCTCCCGCAAGTCAATCCAACCCAGTTACTCGTCATCCAAGGCGCATGGACACACTACATGAACACTAGCGTGAAAGGCAAGACCTCTTGGCAATGGAAACGAACTGGAGGACGCGGTACGTGTATTGTATATCTCCCCTGTGCCAATGTCACGCAGTAATCGGCACAGCGACTCAAGATCCCCAGCCATCTTTGCAATCACAGCTAGCTGTCTCCAATTCGTATAACACACCTGCTGTCGCCTCAGCGCCATCGCACGATACTCAGACAGGCTGGACTCTGGACTCGCTTTTGGCTCTGAACGTCCAAAACCCCCTCCCCATGTAACACCATTTTCCGTAACGCTCAGTAGAGAATGAGGAAAGGGATCACAACGGACTCCGCACGAACTGGTTCAACAAGGTCGCTACAGCACTTAAGATTGGAAGGACGAAACAACTCAAGGTCTCAAGATCTCACGACCCAGCTGATCACAGTGCACAAGACATGCAACATGCAACATTTGGAACAATTTTCGATGAACTTTCCATGCTAGCTTGTTAAATGTTCCGACTTGTTTGGTTTGGTTCTCGTCGTTACCGCTAGTCTTTCTCTGAATCACCCCTGGACCGTGGAACCCACATTCACCATGCAACTTCACAGAAATAGCGCCTCTTGCACCCCGGAATCAGGGCCATCCACAGATCGTATTCCCTCCTTCTGAAGAAATTACAAATTATGTCGTCATGAAGGAAGGTTTCCTCAGGCTGGACACAATAATATTGTTGTTTAAACAGTTGCATCGAAGATCTTTATGGACGCCACCTAGTCAAGAGGAAAACCCATACTGGACGGTAAGTGCCTACTGAACGACGAAATAGTCTGGATGCCGAGAAGGACTGATTCATCCAGCACAACCTCACGAATATGTTGAGCGAACTACCATAAGTAGGTGTCACGATCACGTGAAGACCAACTTAAATTTACGCGTCACGTCTCTGCCCTTCTTGTTCGGATTCGCTCACGTAGTCTCTAGTCAGCTCTGCACGCATCTCACTGTTCGTTATGTCTGCAAATAATGCCAATAGCGTTGATGCTTCAGCAGCTAAAACCAATCTACAAGGACTTGACCTAGCGCAACACTATTTTGGTCCCTTACTTCGCCCAACTCGCGCCACACAGACCGCGTGGACCAATTATTCTATCAATCGCCTCCAAACCAATAAAAAGTACCGCACGGTGGTCTCTGTATCGCGCAAGGGCTCTGAGAATGGTTCTGAGGGTGGCTCCGAAGAAGACTCTGAGGAGGATGAGGATGAGTATGACGAGTACTCCAATGAAGCTTAGCTTCTCGACAGCGTCAAAGCCCACGTTTCCGAGATCGAGAAGGAAATGAACTTTGAGAACGGCTTCCTCCAGAAATGCATCACCATTTTATGGAATGAAACGGAACTCGACGACGAGGACGTGCGTACAGCTTGTTGACACTGTATTCTATTGCTGACATCCATGGTGATCGACAGCCGCGCTCCACTGATCATATAGTTAGGATCTACTCACCAACTGCACCAATGTACATTGATGTGCATCTTCAATACTACTGCCGCTCGCGTTGGTCAGAGGTCGAGTGGTTCTACTCTCTTGGCTACAAGATCCAACGCCGCCCTTCTGCGACGAAAGGCGATGCATTTTCTATCAAGAATGAGCTTACGATGGGCTGTCCTCCGGATGTGCACAAGCGCAATGGGTGGCAGACCTTGTGCTGGGGTTACTATGATGATTCCGATGGAAATTATGGCAAAAATTGGCGTCGCATTGAATGTGGAAACGTGGAGTTACACGAGCAAGGAGTTTTGGACGTTCACGAGGCGTTGTTCGGAGAATTGGAGAAACCTACCGAAACTGACTCAGAGGCCATGCTCGCATATCATCGATCACTCGTAAGGGGCATACGGATGCTTCTTGCTGCTGTCGGTATTTCATATCACGTCGCGTGTGCTGACGATGAAAGTGATAAGGGGCCTTATGACTTGATGCTTGAGGGGCTGAGCGACAAATGGGTCGGGCGATGCATACGGAACGCTTGCGGCCTTCGACTAGCCAGAGATGCAGAAGGAGAGCGCAAAGGTGCCCAGGAACGACAGGAAGAAGCAAAGGGTTACGACGATGACTCCGAGAACGATAGCGAAGGGGATTACGACGATTACTACAGCTTCTGAGGATCATGGACGAATAGGAGGTGAACGCGAGAAAATCGAGGATATGATTTTTGAAATCTACTGGCCTAATGCTGGAAGGCAGTTGCGTTCCAAAGAATAACGAATGTACTAATAATTGATCCTTGTGATATCGATCGATACGTTTATAGCTAGCATCTGTCATAATTCTCGAAGTATTTTTCTTGTTCATCGGTATCTAGCAGTGATATGGACCCAGCCGCGAGTGCATACAATGATTGATGGCAAATTGCCTGCATATGAATTTGTTAACTACTCAGAGTTGAACGTCCAATCAATGACCGTGACATCACCCTATCGCTCACACAAACAATCCCAAGTAAAAGTATGAATCAATAAAGTCTATATCTGTGATAACTTCAGTGGATAAAGTAGGCGAATGTCAGATCAACCGAACGTCCATCAATATCACAGACGTCCAATCCGGAACGTAGCGCGTCGTATCAAGAAAAGTAGGGATGTGGACCTCATCTGCAGAGGTGTAATATTTTAGAGGCGCACGAGAAACTAATGATGACCATCCTGGTGTCCAGGAGACAGAAAACCAATGAAGAGCCAGAGGCGAGACCAGAGTCCAACCTGTCTGAGTACTACATGAGGGCACGAGGGCGTTGAGATTGTCACTGGGGTATTATCACCAGCAGCGAGTGTGGTGTATGAATTAAAGACAGCTGGTTGTGGTTGCAAGGATGGTTTGAGTCTGAGTTGTTGTGCCGGATTACTCTGTGGCATTGGGCTTGGGAGGCTGTGAGCCGCTCGCAGTAGGGTTCTTCGGGGGTAATAATCTTTTCCGTTTCTCCCTCGCACAAGCGTTTCTCTACGTGATATCAGGTAGAGGTCAACGTCAGAGAGTGTGTAAGAACCTACATGTTTGCCCTTCGCATACGGAACATCGATGACTGCAGGGACGGGGCCTTCACCACTTTGTCGGCGCTGTTTCGAACCTAATGGAGAGGAGAGGAGGGTGACGTATTATGGGAATCGGAGGCGCTGCGTTAAAATCAATGACTAAGAAACCTGCTTCCTAGTGATGCTGAAGAACGGGAACGGTATCGTGCAGAGATCTGAGAAACGAAGTCCGAAAACAATGGGAAAGCTACCACTAACTTGAACATACATGAGAACGATCTGGTGGGACTCCTTCAAAAAAAAACCTTGGGGTACTCGATAGATAGGCGGACGTCGTTGGACTGGACGTCGTGTAGCATTAGCCTAAAGTGTATGTTTGAATGCAATGAGATCTTTTACTACGAAGGTATCACGTACTACATGGAGTGTCAAATTGTCGTCCTGGCAGAGTGTTTCAGTTGCAAGAATGTAATACAATAGTGAAACATGCTATCAGCTCACTTTTGGATCCGAAAGAAGGTCATCGAGGTCGGCTTCTTGAACAACCGCAGGATCAGCAACATTCCATGTGTACGTGTTCTGATCGAGGCAGTCGCTTGCTAGTCGCTTTCCATCTGCAGAAAACAATACGCAGTACAGATAATTTGCATGCTGGAGTGGCAAACTGATGGGTCGTCCATTGCTGAGGTTCGTGTCGTGCGATGCGCTTGCGAGGATGCGGTCATTCGGTGATATCGCGATATCACAGAGTGACACAGACAAAGGAAGTGTGCTCGTCGTCGTCGCCCAGACCAATCCGCTCGCGACCCCACGCTATAATCAGTCGTTGAAGTCTTTCATACCTGCAATGAAAAAAAACTTCAATGCAGTAATGAAAGAATCAACTGATTGTGGAACTGGTTCTGCTCGAATAATGTCAATCGACACTAGGATCATGTTATATGTCGTAGAACTGTTCAGTTGATGCGTGGACAGATTTCCTAAACCTGCCCGTGCGATATGCTTGAATTACATTCTGCACTGCAGCCCCGCCGAGGGCAATGGCACTGTCGCGAATCGAAGTGGATCAATGTACTTGTCAAAAGTCCTTTCTGGCCACATGACCGTCCGTTGACTGACGAAATAGTCGGCTTGTAAAAACCTATCATCCTGAGTAAAATAAGCGAACTAGTGTGACACGTGAAAATAAAATAAAGAATGCACTAATTCACACGTGTGCAAAAAAATAAGATTTAGGACAGATTTATGCCCGGTCTTGATCGGATTATCTCTCCGCTTTCCACTCCACTTCAGCAGATATCACGGGTCGTGTGTGCCTCGTCCATTTAGCGATGACTTTGCATGTGTCGATGTCCACAACCTCACTGCAGCGCCATCATCGCTCCCGCTAACCACTATCTCCCTGTCCGGAGACAACGCTATACTCTTCACTCTACTTTCTCCATCCCATCAGTCCTCTTCTTTTTGTTTCCCGCTCTCCAAGTTCCACACTCGCAGCGAGCCATCCCATCAGAAAGTGATGATCTGCTATTCACCTGCCACGTGTTTGGCACAACAGACCCATCCGGCTTCAACTTTCTGACAGGGTGTCATTGCTGACGTCGCTTTTTGTTTAAGTGGGTAAAGACATAATCCAGAATTCTTACTACCGAGTGCAGCGCCATCTCATCTTTCATCCATGAAATTCTAAAATCATCACGTGCGAAGACTTCAACGACAGGCTGATAGCTGGGCACAATAGGCGTATTCGTCAAGTCAGAGTTGAATGTACTGCTTCTTGGTACGTTCTTGACATGCCTTATCCTCGTGTTCGTTTCACAGCTTATATACAGCATACGCTGTGCAATTGAAGTGCCCGAGGATCATATAATCATCACATTTCGACAAGCCTCGGTCTATCATTAATCAGTCCTTGTCCACTTGTCATGACAACTTAGAAGCCGTTTGCTGCGAAGAGTTCTCCTGCGTTCTCAATGTCTGCTGCTCTTAGGATGGGTTGCGTTCCTTTTGAGCTGGCGCCCGTTATCTAATCGGTTAGCAAAACAGCGAGCAGCTTTTGAATCACCCGTCGGACAGGATCGCAGGAGACACTAGTGTCGACGACGAGTTTGCGGACAAGGAGAAGAACGATTTACTTACACAGACGTGATCATCACCGTGTACCGTACGGTCCTATCGCTCACTCAAGCAGCTCCAGATTCCGAAGTTAACTGCAATCAAGTTTATCTTGAAATTCACGTACATTTCGATGAACGTGCCACTTGTATTATTGATGCTCAAGAGCAGCCGATTTGATGGGCAATTGCTGCCCGTGTTGTAAGATAGTAAGAATAGAAACTTGAGATGAGCAGAGCGTACATCTCTCTCGAAGAACTTATTGAAAATTATCTTTTCTCTCCGTGTTTCCAGTCTCACATTCTTTGATCCAGTACGAACTCGCCATATGTGATCTATGCGTTCCTTCCTATATATATCGTACGCGCTGAACCAACGATTGTGTGAAAATGGGAATTAGACAAGTTCGTATCTGCAATACGATATCGTCTAATATTGCCTTATAAGTTAACGCTCACACAACGAACACCAAGTAAAGGTGTGAATTAATTGATCAAGTCCATGTCCGTGATAACTAAGAACTTAAAGAAGAAAGTAGGAGAATGTATCAGATCAGGAGCGTTGATTCACCCACAGACGTCCAGATTATCCGACGGTACAAACAATACTCTATAGGCTGACAGTGGTTGTCTGCACGTCTAGAGGTATACTTTCCCAGCATCTAAGACTAAGACTCAGAGTGTGGACCATTGCCGAGGTAAATATATCCATCCTCTGTTGAGGGGTTCGCTTTGAACAGCTTGCCTAGACGTTCGTCTTCAAAGAGCGTTAGCATTAGTATCCGGACAATGATGAACAAGAGAGAGAGAGAGCAGATACACTCACAGACAGTATCATATTCTACATGTTTAAAATGCTTCAACTCCCACGCCGTACCGCCAGCAGATTCGTCCCGTCTTCTCTGCCTTTGCTCGTTCTGTGTCAATTTCAATTTCAGACACGTTCGCATCAGCAAACATGCAGACAGAAAAAATGAACGAAAACATGAACGCACCTCAATCTTCCCCTTACACGTTGCAGCACTCTCAAAATCACCCTCCCTGATACCTTTCGCAACACCATGCCATAACTTCCTGCTTTCCCACTCCCCCTGCTCCTCAACAGGTGCGACTGTAATCTCCTCCTTTGGCGAGGTGACATCGTGGAACGTAGCACCGCTATGCAACTCTTTAGACGTCGTATGCCACGTCCCTTCAACGATGTGGGGGGATGTGTGGATGTGTGAAGGCGGTGTGAGCGTTGCTTTGAACGTGTGTGATTTGCCAGAGAAATAGCCTTTGCCTTTGTATTCGATCTATTTCGTTTGGCAGATTCAGTTTGATTCATTAATTGGATTGTGATTCAGATAGCATGAATGATGAGCAGGAAGTGGGAAGTAAGCGCGCACCGTAGAAAGCCACCCGGTAGAGCTTTGAATGTAATTCGTTTCTGCAAGCTCGATGTATGGGGATCCGTACCACAGCCCGTCAATACGGAGTCGAGGAAGTGTGATCAGGTATTCCTCGGTCTCACCAGACGGAAGGGATACAGTCAGAACTGCGTGGCCAACTTGCTTCACGATGATGCTTCCTCCTGAAATAAAACGTACGTCAGCATACGGGACCTGGTATGCGGTACTTGATATACGAAATATGAAACAAAGAAAACATACCGCTGAAACTCGTCTTTTGGGCACTGTGTCCAGTCAAAATCACACCTTTTTGGAGATTCTCTATACGATAAGCTGTGATCGGTGGGTGGTGGGAGACTTGTTCTACGACTAGGGTAGTTTTGCCCCCGCGAGCTGCATTCGCTGGCCAATACCCATAAAAGAGTCTAGAAGAGGTCAGATCAGCGCAAGATACATGTGTTAGAAGCGAAGAAACGTACTCTCCAAGAACAGGATTCAACGGCCTACATCGTAGATGAGCTTCAAGTTCATACTAGGAATACATACAAGCATATCACATACTTCTTCTCAGATCCCATTGATTCGTTCCGGGATGTGTATTGCCCTTTGAGCGTACTCTGACAACCGTATGAATTAGCAAAACAATATACAATAGCCATGTTTCTCGACTCACGATGAACCATTTTAACACAGCCAACGCTCTGGCTTGTTCTGTCTTTCCATCTGCAATCGCAGCGAACAACTCGGGTCGCTCACACCAGTACGCTGAACAACGCAACATATTCAGATCGATATACACAGCTCAAAATCGATCGTACCTGGGAACTCAGTAAGGGACGTAGGGGATAATATAAACGGAGGAGCAGTCATAGCCGACAGATCGCCCGTGAAGCCAGCCAGACTAAGAGGCGTCGGTTTACTGATCAAATCATCTCAAGAAACAGAGACTCACGACTTCAAAAAGCTCGTCCAGCTGCTCTTCTGAGCTGCAGGTACAGCCTAGGTAGATCACCGAGCACAATAAACGAGAACATGTAACATACGACATTTGGAATGTTTTAGGTTAGATTTACGGAGACTCTTTGATGGACTTGCCTCGCCAGCTTGTTCCGACATGCTTGGTGTTGATTAACGATTGGGTAGTAGGCGATGTGATGGTGATGGGGGTGAGGAGACAGGTGTGAGCGGTCACAGCTTAAGGGTACTCCACCAATGTGTCACGTGATCAGGTATCAGACCAAGTGTCTGTTTCAGGTATTGACAAGGTCTTAATAAACTCGTAGGTACTTATACGATGGAGCAACTAGTAACACAAAGACTACGAAACAGGAGTATAACAGATGGGTGAAAATGTAGGGAGGATGGAGATGAATTAATCAAAAGCCTCCTCTGCACTCTTACGTACCAGACGTCGTACTTTCTTCTTGTAAGCTACAATGGCATAGTTAGTTAGCATCAAGTGATCCAGCCTTGAAAGGCCAATCGGTCACATACCAGCATGGTCCGTGCGAATTTCTTTGGCGGCATCCACGTTAGCTGGGCTGTCCGTGTTTGGGGTCTCGGAGGACAGTAGCGATATGACGCTCACGAGCTACAATGGAGTCAAATCAGGATACAGGAAACGTTTCGACGAAGGTCATACAATTGTTTCCACTGTGTGGACAGGCATCCATCGTTCACCGGCATCTTCATAGCCGTACTGATCGTCACCCGGAGCATGCTGCGATCATGGATGAGCTTTGATTGAGAGGCGACAAGGAATACGAACCAAAATAGAGATGCAAACTACACCGTCGGCGTAAACTGTACGATAGGGTTAGATCACACGGTGATTAAAGTGCACCCGTGGCTTACTGTTTGGGTGCCACATGGGCGTGATAAACCGCATCTTTGGCGGTTGGAGAGGGTACTCTGAAGGAAAAGAAAGCCGAGCCTTGAAGAACCCTCCTTCACTAGATGAGGTATGAATGAGAGGTATAGATAAAGAGGGGTGTAGAGGCGTACTACAGGGTGTCCGGAGGCCTGTCAAAGCTGGTGAGTGTGGCGGATGACTTTGAAGAGATTTACGCTAACCCGATTATCATGATCTCCCATTCGTAAAGATTGTTGTCATCGACAAGTCCTTTGCCCGGAAGTCTATCAGGAATCGGTTGAAGATCAAAGTTAAGGAGAAAGGCTGCCCGCACCTGCAGAGAACCCCTCAACCGGGTGCTTCGTGAGCTCAGTGAGCTGCCTACGAAGTAGAAGAGTGTTTGATGGCTGTGGTGTGGATGGTTTCGACATCAGATCAATTGAGGCTTTAACAAAATTACAGAGAGTGAAAGATTGAAAGATGTGAGTGAGTGGTTTTGCGATTCGAGAAATGCGGATAATGGCGTGGGAATAGAACAGATTTCTTTTTATTTAGAACACATAGCTACTTCGAGTTGATTTTCTGATCAGGCTTAGTCCGCTACTCTATTAGCACGACTTGTATCTTATAACTCTATTAGTATACATTCCTGCTCATTTAGTTTCTGTCTGAGCCTGTCTGCTCATTCCCGCGCATCCTACTATGCAACAAAATCAATTCTGACTGCATGACAAACTAGCATCACTGCCATCAGCAAAATCTCAGATCTGCTTTATGTACTTAAATGACTTAATCAGCATAAATAAGCAGGACACTGAACTGCACTGGATAAGCAAACAGTTACTTTTTCAGACCAGTCAGTCTCTGATTTTCATCTGAATCTTACTTATCCCCCTGGCAGTAAGTAAAAAAAGTAATCATTGCACCCAAACAGTAGGATAAGCAAAGTAATAAAAAGCCACAAAACAGTCAATTCATAGGATCCAGAAAACGGGTGAATCATACTACTATAATCAGATGACACAGTAGCTACGGATGAATGAATGTGATGGGGACCAATAGTAAGAAGGCAGTGGGGAAGTGGGGCAAACACACTGGCATATGGTCGGGCCACCAGATAGAATGATTCTGTTGAGATGTATGTCAGTAATATTGCTGGTTGGGGGAGAAAAAGATGTTACAAATAAGGGCACACTCATTGACCCTTTCAAACAAACTTGAGGGCACATTTGAGCTGGAAATGATCAGAACACATCAGCAAAAATGCGATGTGCAATGTAGCACTACAGATCCTACATAGTATGCATAGCTTCGTTGCAACCCCCCCTCAACATAGTGTTATATACTACATCTTGTATCATTTTTTGCACAATGTTGCATCCTGTACCTACTACGTCAATTACATAGCCCTGCTACATAGTGCTCCATAGTGCACCATAGCGGCACATGGCCAAAATCATAGTGATAGTAGTTTGCAGTGCCCAAATAAATGGGAACAATAACATCCATTCAATGCTACAACACTACCAGAACTAAATCAAGCAGTTATCCTACTCGCCTTCATTATCTTCAGATCCACCATCAAACTTGTCTGCATCATCACTATCGACGTTCTCAGTGCCGTCACCCCCTCGCTGGTATTCCTGAATTGCATTCTCGATTTCATTGTCAGACAGGCAGTCTCTGTGTGGAACATCAGTTGGATCCGCTCTAGCATGTATTCTGGTTCTAGTGCGTCAGACTCATGAAGACGAAATTTCGCGAGATACATACCTGCCATTGTTGTTGATGTCCTTGAGGATGGCATCAAGTATCCCAAGGTCTTTCATTCACGCTTGGAATGTCTTGAGATTGGCGAGGTGTTTATTGTATATCTCTTTGTAGTCACTGCTTGCAAAACTGATGTTGACCTGCTCTCTGTCAATCCATTCATCCACGCAGCATTCAGCCTGCAGTCAACAACATCATCATGTGAATGTAACAGTGTCAACACACCTGACTCACCACAGTATATAACAAAGCCAAGGCAGGAATGGGAAATGGCATGAAATACTTCTCAAACACAACACCTTCGTCCCTCTTGTTCTGGTACCAGATTGAATTTGTGCCCTTCTGATTCAACCTCGTCTGAAAGAGACCACTGCAAGGAACACAGCTTTTCTTGTCTCCAAGGTCCTTTAAATCAAATGTAAGAGTGTGATAGAATGTGGATTATTGTCCACTCACCTGGTAACACAATCCAAATTTATGCTTGAGCTCACATATGAGTCGGCAATTCTTAGACTTGACAGATTCTCTTGTGCTGCAGTCAAACCCAGAGATGCTCTCAACAAGAGGTCAAAGCTTGGCTTTCACCTCGCTCATGAGATGTGATGTGCGATGGGTAATCTTGAGTATAAGATTAGGCAGCTGAATCAATAGAGACAGGGCACTTACCATTTGTATGATCTCAGCATTGAATCCTATCTCAATGTCATGCAACACACATGCCTCCCTCCAAGCTTCCTTTGCCCACAACACCTGAGTCATGCGATCTGGTTATGCATACTGAGTGTTACGACTTGGATGGTATCTGTTGGCGACGCTCAAACAGAGCGTGTGTCGTCAACGGTCGAGGACGTCCTTGGGCTAGCCCAAGGTTAGGGGTCGTACTTGGCGTGTCTTCGGCAAGTACGATTTAATGCCTATGTCCAAATCGGGTAGCTTATGTCACGCAGGTGCGAGACAATAAGCTATATCGGCCTAGGCTTACGACACCCGAAGGTTAATCGTAAGGATCGTCGTTAATTAGAAGGACAGAAGTCCAACTAGTCAACAGGGGCTTTGCTCGTCGACGAAGTCGATGAGTAAAGGTCGAGACTATAGGCTTATCCGCGAAGAGCAGATAAGAAGATAGAATATAGACTGCTGGCGAGGCAGAAGGATCACTCTGGTGAGAGTAGGAGGTCAAGAACCAAGTAGATTCAAGTTAAGGAATAGGTTACATGGTAGCGAGTTTATATAGAGGACAGGAAGCGTATTAGTGGATGATAACTCGTACTACCAAGAGAAGTAAACAGGAAAGGGTATGACCATAAAAGGAAGGCACGTTCGAGGTGAGACACGGGCGAGCTCTGAACGTGCAGATAAGAATAGTGAGTCAAAGATCGGAATAAGAAGTGAAACACGCAGGGGCATGATCGTGCAGCTGCGGATCTAAGTATAAGTCGCATGTGCGACTGCGCACCGAGTCAGAGATCAAGAAAGGTAATCAAGGCAAAGGGGATGCATCATGCATCATATCATAGGTTACCGTCCAGATGGTGAGGGCAAGGGGACTGTCCACAGGATCAGTCAGGTGGTGAAACGGAGCATGGGTATGCTTCGTCAGCGAAAGGGTCCGGCCAGATGTACTGGCTCTGCTGAAGCGACAGGTAGAGAGCGAAAGGGAATGCGAGGATGACAAGGATGACAAGGGTAAGGTCGGGGTAAGGGTATGACGCGAGGGCTGATACTAGGAGGATTAGGAGAAAAATAGTAGGGGCCCAAGCGTCTAGATGTTCTTGTAACACTGAGAGGTGAGCTGTCCATGAAAATCTCCGATGGCAAACTTGATGAGTTGCTGGACTGCAACTTTGTAATCACGAGCTGCTACATGCCCCTTGCTCTTGCAGATTTTGCACGGCAGTTGCTGCTCTTGTTGTTGAGGGGAGGGTGAATCTTCCGATAAATCATCAGCCATGCGCTTCCATTTGCAATTGTGTGGTCTGTCATACTCATTGTCAGAAGACGACACATAACCTGAGTCCATGTGAGAATCTGCAAACATAATCAGCTGCTGTTCAAGTGACGAAAATTGGCTTACCCTCATTATCAGACACATGATTATGCTGCATGTAAGTGGTCCCATTAGCAAAGTCATCAACATCTGTATCTTGACCATCGAGATCGGTGCCATCTCCGAGTCCATAGTACCACTCATGCTCCTCGGAAGGGTTGCCCATGTCATCGTCTTGCTCCACAGAGGTGGTATGTGCAGTCCGCACCTGCCAAAGTTGCATGAGTTCTTTTGCATGGCCTGCAGTCAGTCTTTGTTGCCCCATTGGAGACTTTCAGTTAATCAGCGCTGCACATATCAAAGTCAGGATAGCAACACCTTACCATATTCTCAGATCAAGCCATATGAGCATGATCACTATTAACAAAGCCGGACTCCTGCAAGTCATACCTATCAGCATCCCTGACCTGAAGTCGGCATCAGACAGTCTTACCTCTGTAAGAACATCATCCTGCCATCCATGAGAGGTTTGACATGATACAGGTATATTTTTTTGTGGAGGGACCTTACTAAAACGTGGTCTTAAATCCAGTGGACCAGTAGCCGATACATTGGACAGAGGGACATTGTGTGATGAAAACTTCAAGAAACAGTCAGATTTCATTGTGCAAAGGTGACAATAAGCAAGACATACCTGTGACCTGTTATGAAAAGACACTAGAAGCACATGCACATTACAGATAGATAAAAGATGCAACAACAAGCCCACCTCTATTGGCATGATGCCTGCGGGACTGCTTGCTTTTAACTTGATTGCCTTGGCGATGATTTTCATGGTCTTGGGCTTCCTCAACTGATAAATATAATCACATCATAAGAGGAGTGAACCGTACATATGATGGGACATACCTTAATATAGTGCCTTCTCCGAGGGATGGCGGTCATGTCATTCTCATTGTGAGGGAGTAGGGTCAACATTGTTGATCATTCTAGCGAGTGCTTGGCGACTTGATCCTGTGGAAGACATTTTGAAGGTAGAGATGAGAGAGCGGGTACAGTAACAAGTGAGGTAGATCTTACCATTTTATAAGATAAGATGTGTCCCGTCACACTGGTCACTGGTGAATCAACAAAGACGCGTCAAAGGTAAATCAACGGCCCACCCACATGATCAACATCCTAGTCATGTCGTGTAGTGTCAAATCATTGGCTGAAAAGTCAAAAATTTACTGTCAGTCTAATTTCACGTGTCTGATCACTCGGCTTTGTCACCGATTGACCATAAGTCAAAGTGACACTCACTCGGCTTTTTCGGCTCATTGCTTATGTCTTACTGCTGCAATTTTTGCCTCAAAGGCTTCACAAGTTCTCAGGCCGTTAGTCTTCATATTGCAAATGCACCAGCCTGCAGGTACTGTATGGAAGGGGTCCATGAACATGTCGAGGATGAAGAAGAGATGCCTGGTGATCAACCTGACGATGATATCCATATGGAAGTTGATGGAGACATATCTTTTGTGTTCAACAATGATGCAGCGAACATGCTACCAGGATCTCCTACATGAAATCATAGTGTCCAGGTTGAAGACATTGAAGATGAGAAAAGAGTTTGGATGCGATTCATACAAACATACCATGGACAAGTAGCACAGACTCTCGGTCAAGCCCAAACATTGTTTGAGACCATCAAGGCAGAACAGGAAGCCCTAGGTCTTGATCTGTGGGCACCTTTCACAGATGAAGAAGAATGGGGACTGGTGAAGTGGTTGGTAGTGAGGGTAGGCCAGACTGCAATTGATGAGTTTATGAAACTGCTGATTGTAAGTCACCTTCAGCCATCAGTTTGCACTGGTCAGACTCACCAAAGTTGATAGACTGGCCGCATGAGGACAACCTTTAAGAGCAAATATACACTGCTAAAAGCTATCAACAAACTTCCACATGCCACCAAATGGAAACTTGAGAAGATCAGCGTGGTGGGTAACAGAATTGGGAATGATGGGCAGCATGAAACAGAGGACCTTGAATTGTGGTTGTGCAACCCAGTAGACTGCATTCGGAAGCTGATGAGCAATCCAGAGTTTTAGAAAGGGGTGTCATACGCACCAGAAAGGGTTTTTGCAGATGAGGAGGGAAAGACATGCATGTTTGATGAGATGTGGACCGGTGATTGGTGGTGGGAGATGCAGGTCAGTTTAGGCATCTGCATGAAGGAATTGACGCACTAAGTCCAATCTCACAGAGGAGATTGCCCCAAGGGGCTGTTGTTGCACCAGTGATTTTGGCCTTGGACAAGACTTCACTATCACAGTTCTGTGGGGATCAGGAAGTCTGGCCTGTGTACTTGATGCTCGGTAACATATCTAAAGACATCCGGTGTCAGCCATCAAAACATGCAGCCATCCTCATCGCCTACTTACCAATCTCCAAGTTGGAATGTTTCATGAGATGCCTGTTCAGTCGAGCGATACCGTTTATTCCACTATTGCATGAGACAGGTCTTAGAGCCTTTGATCAGTGCAGGTGAGAATGGAGTTGAGGTCACTTGCTCCAACAGTCAAGTCAGATGAATGGATCCAATTGTCACCACTTACATCACCGACTTTCTAGAGCAATGCCTGGTTGCCTGCTGCATGGAAAATCAGTGTCCAAAATGCAATGTTGGGCATGACAACCGTGAAGATATAAGGGTGTCAGCACCATGTAATCGAGAATCCACACTGGAAAATCTACGCCTGCACTATGATGGCAAAATGAGTAATGAACGGTTTGAGGGAGAACTAGGACTACAAGCAATCTATTCACCATTCTGGGCAACACTCCCGCACAATGATATATTCTCATGTATCACCCCCGATATTCTACACCAGCTGCACAAAGGTGTTTTCAAGGATCACCTTGTGAGCTGGTGCTCTGAAATCATAGGTGAGGAGGAACTGGATGCATGTTTCAAGGCAATGACATCATATTCGGGCCTCCGACACTTCAAGAAAGGATTTTCAAAACAGAAACAATGAACGGGGGTGGATTATAGAGAGCTGCAGTGGGTTTTCCTTGGTGTTATTGCTGGTGTGGTCGACAACCAAGTCATTGCTGCAGTACATGCTGTTTTAGATTTTATCTACTATGTGCAGTATCAGAGGCACACAGACATGACACTTGCACATATGCATACTGCACTCACATCATTTCATGCCCACAAGAACATTTTCCTTGATCTCGGAGTGCGGGATCACTTCAACATACCCAAAGTTCATTCAATGCTGCACTATGTTGATGCCATTCGTCTGTTCAGAAGTGCAGATGGCTTTAATACAGAACTCCCTGAATGGCTGCACATCGATTTCACCAAGTGTGCATACCATGCCTCTAATTGATGCAACTATGTGATCCAGATGACTACCTGGTTACAACGGCAAGAGGCTATTGCCATTCAAGACACTTACCTTTGATGGTGGGCTTCACAACACCCTGCCAATGGTGATTCAGGGTAAGACAAGTCAGATACCAGTACCATGGACTCAGACTTTGATGACACACCTATAGTAGTCAACCATGATGACTTCGCCACTGTCTTGCCTCATTAGGCACAGTGCTTCACGATGGTGACAGCATCACGGGGGTACTTAGGCTTTGTGGTGCTAAGTATTCTTGCTGGGCACAAATAGTAGTCGACCTTTTTCCTGATGCAGCAGATTTTGGATTAAAAATAAATCTTACTGTGACACATTTGCATGTAGGTCATTAGTGGCCTTTGGTTTCTCGGTACGAGGTTTTCTCTTTGCATTCTCAAGGTGTTCCTCAGCTTTGGCCCCCAAAACAGGCCTGCCAGGATGAGCAGTTGCGTTTGATTTATGAGTCTGATGTGTGGACACTACCTGTGAAGCTTTGGGTGCCAGGCCTGACTGCTGGAGATGATAGGAGGAGTGGATGATGTGGAACAAAGAACTTGGGGATGAAATTTGCAAGGTACTGGTTCCATCAATTGAGACAAACATGAGCTCACTTTGTTACATTCCATAATGGGCAACAGCTCAATTTTAACATTGCTACCCTAGAGTCTCTAGTTTCAATTAAGTTACCATCAGTCAAAGTTTGCACCAACTGTTCTGCTAGGTTCCTTTATCCTCTAACTTGCATTATAGTATACCATGGCATCCCACTCTGCTCCTTAGCACTCTTGATGTTATGGACTTGGATAGTGTCTGTTGGTGACGCTCAAACAGAGCATGTGTCGTCAACAGTCGAGAATGTCCCTGGGCTAGCCCAAGGTTAGGAGTCTTACTTGGCGAGGCTTTGGCAAGTAAGGTTTAATGCCTATGTTCAAATTGGGTAGCTTATGTCAAGCGGGGCTCGACAATAAGTGTATCTGTCAAGGCTTACGACACCCGAAGGTTAATCGTAAGATCTGCATTAATAGAAGGACAGAAGTCTGACTAATAACAGGGGCTTTGCTCAACGACGAAGTCGATGAGTAAAGATCGAGACTAAAGACTTATCTGCAATGAGCAGATAAGAAAGTAGAATATAGACAGCTGGCTAGGCTGAAGGAATCACTCTTATTAGGAGTAGGAGGTCAAGAACCAAGTAGATTCAAGTTAAGGAACTAGATACATGGTAGTGAGTTTATATAGAGGAGAGGAAGTGTATTAGTGGATGATAACTTGTACTACCAGAAGAGGAACTAGTCAAAGGGTGATACTAGAAAAGGAAGGCACATTTGAGGTGAGTCATAGGTGAATTGAAACGTGCAGATAAGAAATGAGTCAAAGAACAGAAACAGGAAGTAAAACAAGTAGGGGCATGATCGTGCGACTGCGCACTGAGTCAGAAATCAAAAAAGGGAAACAGGGCAAAGGGATGCAGCATGCATCATGTCATAGGTTACCGTCCGGACAGTAAGAGTAAAGGGGACTATCCGCAGAATCAGTCATTGGGTGAAACAGAGCATGGGTGTGCTTCATCAGAGAAAGGGTCTGGTCAGATGTACTGGCTTTGCTGAAGCGACAGGTAGAGGGTGAAGGGAAATGCAAGAATGACGAGGATAACGAGAGAAAAGTTGGGGTAAAGGTGTGATGCAAGGGCTGAGACGAGAAGGATAAGGAAAAAAATGGTAGGGGCCCAAGCATCTAGATGTTCTTGTAACACTTGAAGGAACCACGTCCCATATCAATTTCCTTGTTGCTATCCTGGGGTGCTGCACTCTGGCCAATGAACCTCTAAGGCAAGGAACCTGAGCTGTCACAGCCTTTTGCTATTTTGGAGGACAAGTTTGAGCTTGTATTGGGCATCTTTGAGAAGGTTACCCATAACACGACAGAGTTATTGTACCATGTGAGTTTATTGATCTCACAACTGCAATGTTCTGCTAATTTTTGTCATGGGACTTACACCTACTGTGCTTAGCAAAAGCCATTTATCCATACTGATGTGATCACCAGATCAAAAGAAAAGGCCTGACTTTGTGTATTATTTGTCAGACAAAAGTACTCTATGAGGTCAATAGGAAACTAATAGTCAATCCAGTGGTATGGTGTTGACAAACAAAAACAGAAACTAGAAACAAGAAACTGACTTGGCACAACAATGGTGCTATACTCTAAACTCACTATGAAAAATTGTGCGAAGCTGTATTGGTCACTCCTACAGTGCAAACAGGTAGAATCAAAGATCAAGACTTATCAAAAGCTTCCATAGAACTCTTAGCCTAATATTGAATCTACTACCAAGGAACTTACAGTGAGTATTAAACAGAATCAGAAACAGACATCCTTGGATTTTGATACCAAGTCCCCTATTCAATAGCTAAAGCCTATCTGACAATTAACAATACTGGCTCAGTATACTACTCAGATGTGTGAGGTCAAGTAAACAATAATCAACTTCTGAAGTCTTGTTGAGTTTACCTCAAGTCTCAGACATGTCTGTCAAAGTATGACCAAACTCAGGTGTACAGGGAACTTGTAGATAATGCGTAGTGTACAAAAAATTCAAACTAGTCTTATATATTACTATGAAATACCTATGCTTTCGGTCAGATAACTACATTACTGGAACATTACAAATGTTACATAATGTGTTGCATGCTTGGTTAGTATTGAGCTCCAAGTTGCTAGTATGCTCCAAATCCAACAAGTTTCCCCACTAAGCTACTCTGAGCCTTTAGTGGACATAGAGACAACATGAAGAATCAGAGATAAGGCTCGAATGTATTCACTAAAATCTAAAAGACGTTAGTAACAGCAGCAAGAAACAAGTACTCAGAATGTATTTGCTAAAAAATCTATAACACATTATAGAGACTCACACCTCCACAGACACTTCCCTCTGACTTCTCCTATATTCCCTACACACTCCAGCTCTAATTCATAGGATAAGTCTTGCACATTGGCGCACATATATTTTCTATTGCAGGTTTCACATGCAGCCTCTCACATTCACGTGTTGTCTTCTTAGATAGATAATCTATAGATGAACACCTACAAAATCAAATATCTCCATGGTCAGTGATTCAGACAAATACCAATGATTGATAATGTGGTTGTTCGTGGGTGGCCTGTCAGTATATCCATGGAGCTATGGTCAGACAAAGGTACTCTACAAAATCAGTATAGAAACACTAGTCAATCCAGCGTATGGTGTTGACTAAAAGAAACAAAGAGAAAACAAGGACTAAGACTAAGCATAATCAATGGTGCTAAACAGAAATGAGAACTAAGACTAGGCACAATCAATGGTGCTATATTCTAAACTTACTATGAAACAATCGTGCGAGATGTATTGGTCACTCCCACAGTGCAAACAGGTAGAATCAAAGATCAAGACTTGTCAAAAGCTTCCATAGAACTCTTAGCCTAATATTGAATCTGCTGCCAAGGAACTCACAATGAGTATTAAACAGAATCAGAAACGGACATCCTTGGATTTCAATACCAAGTCCCCTATTCAATAGCTAAAGCCTATCTGACAATAACAATACTGGCTCAGTATACTACTCAGATATGTGAGGTCAAGCAAACAATATTCAACTCCTGAAGTCTCCCCACTGAGCTACTCTGAGCCTTTAGTGAATCTAGAGACAACACAAAGATTCCAAAGATAAGGCTCGAATGTATTCGCTACAATCAAAAGTACGTCAGTATTAGCAGCAAGAAACAAACACTCAGAATATATTCACTAAAATCTATAACATGTTAGTTACATGACAATAAACAAGCACTCAGACTATTAGCTTTCAATGGGTAGAGAGAGTGAAACAGATCCCGAGCTAAAGAAATAGATAGAGTTAAATAGGTCCCAGACTAAAAGAAATAGATCCCAGAGTAGAATGAAATAGATCCCAATCCTAGAGAAACAGAGAGAAAAGAAATAGAGCCCAGACTAAAGCAAAATAGATCCCAATCCTAAAAAAAACAGATAGAGAGATAGAGACAGAGACACATGCACACAAACACAAACACTCAGAAAAACAAGAGACTTCTCAAAACAAATAACCAGGCCTTGCAGGTTGTTGAGCATAGTGAGCTCAATGGCTCCTACTGTCTCATTAATGTACCTGACAATGTCGAACAGCTCTTCACTGTTGTTACTGATGCTGATCACACACAAACCTCACTCGCAATTTTATTAAGATGATTCTGAGGAATCTGATTGATTGCATTTCAGGCCAAAACGGAGGTCCTTATATAGACAAATCTATGTGGCTATGCTAATTTACTCCCACGCACCTAGGTATATTCAATTTTTGTTTTTTCATGTATCTAGATATACTGCATTATTTGTCATAGATCATAATACCCGTGTGAATTGTACATAGGTGAACATGATTTGTCAGGCTTAGTCATAGATCAGCTGACTGTGGTAAGAGAACATAGTTTACATAATGTGTTGAAACTTGTTTGTATTTGATGTTGTTTAGATATGTAGCATATGACATAGAACAAAAACTGCATAACACCTGTATTTAAAGTTTCCTGGAAGTTCCTGCAAACAAACATATGTGGGAAATATTTTTCATGGAAACTTCAGATGCATAAGAATCTAGCTGAGTCATCTTTGAGCCAAATAACACAAAATTCCCATAAAATATTCACTAACACCGCTCGGTCATGCACTGGACCAGTTTGGTGCAGGTCAGCATCTGTCCTTGCATCATCCGCACACCTGTTTGTCCATCCTTCCCATGTTCTCAGAAGTCCATTGGTGCATTTTCCCACTATATTCCCATTTTGTTTAATTGTTTTCCAACACTAATGCTTAGCTTTGCGCTACATGCACAGCTGAGACCCTGTTACATACCTCATGTACTATTTTTAGCCTATTTGGCTCACTTCATTGGACCTCTGCACCTAGTGGTGCTTACTTACTTTACTTATACCCTCTCTATTACTTATGTTCTGGGTTGATTTTCTGCCTACTTTCTCTCTGTACTTAGCCACTAGAGAATTTTACTTGTTGTTGTAGTGACTATCTAAAGTCTCGCATGCCAGTTGTCTGTTTTTTGCTTTATCATCAACCAACTTTAATTGGGTGGTATCAGTAGTTTTGTTTAGTTTCTCTTTAGTCACTGTCACTTGTTTACATTTCGCTCTTGCTTGTGCATGCTACCTTTGCATCACATATCTCACACTTCACCTCATGCACTTGTGTGTCTGCTCATCGTTTATGGCATTGCACTTGCCTCACACTTCGTGTTTCTATTTGTCCTATTACCCTAGTAGTAGTTTGGTGTCCCTCTTTTTATAAGAGAGGTTTCCCTTAACTCAGATAGCTGCCCTTGGGTTGATGTTTTACTCATATTCAGGACTCTCTGTGGTTTATTAGCTTAGTACCAACTTTCCCTGCAGTTTAGATTCCTCATCTTTAACGTTAGTGACATAACAATAAACAAACACTCAGACTGTTAGCCTTCAATGGGTAGAGAGAGTGGAACAGAGATAAGGAAACAGAACCCAGACTAGAGAAACAGAGATAAAAAAAATCAGAGAGAGACAGAGACTTAAAAACAGAGACTTAGAGACAGAGACAGAGACAGAGACTGAAAAACAAGAGACTTCACAAAACAAACAAAAGAAAAATAAACCAGGCCTTGCTAGTTGTTGAGCACAGTGAGCCCAATGACTCCTACTGTCTCATGAATGTACCTACCAACCTCAAACAGCTCTTTGCTGTTGTTACTGATGCTGATCACACATAAACCTCACTCACAATTTTATTAAGGTGATTCTGATGAATCTTCTTGATTGATTGCATTTCAGGCCAAAATGGAGGTCCTTATATAGACAATTCTACATGGTTATGCTAATTTATTCTTGCATACCTAGGTATATTCAATTGTTGTTTTCTCACGTATCTAGATATACTACATTATTTGTCATAGATCATAATACTCGTGTGAATTGTACATAGGTGACATGATTTGTCAGACTTAGTCATAAGTCAGCTGACTGTGGTAAGAAAAACATGGTTTACATAATGTGTTGAAACTTGTTTTGTATTTGGTTTTGTTTAGGGATGTGGCATATGACATAAGGCAAAACCAAGCAACATGCATCAGCAAAAGACCTTGAAATTTTGCTTGTCAAAAAGAAGTTTGATGCTTATGGTGAGCTTATGGTGCTGGTGATGGAGCAACATGATTGGTGGAACAAACTTTTCTGTAGTATACTGTAAATATTTTGATGTTAATAGTGTTATAATTTTGAAATGGGTGTATGTATTGTACCATATGATATTATATCAAGTTTGAATTGAAATATTAGTTGTCTAACCCTAGACTGAGTAGTAGGGCCATTCTGGAAGTTCATAGTAATCGATTGGGATGCATTCAACTTGAAGTGCATCTGCGATACTACTAGTAGTACTATTAACAATCGCTACTACACGAACTCTGTACTAAATGTATGGTAACTTTCTTTATCTGAAAAATTATTCAGGAAAAACCGGTCATAGGACTCCAAACATGTCATTGAAGAAATGTTCTTGTTCACCGTCACCATACTCTAGTATCAATTCAACGGCATGTGTTACATTTGTCAATAACACCACACCACCATACCTATAGTGTTTGTCATGTTAGTCCACCACATACGACCGCTCTACTGTCCACATCGTGAGTTCAGGACAATCATTGGGATTGGCGACAAAGTCAAAATATTGTATGTGAAGGAGCAGACCAGAGAGATATGGAAGAACCAGGTTAGAAGCACCTGAAATCCTGGGCTGAAAGATAAGGCAAACTTGTGTAGCATGACTTGCTGAATATCGCCCCATTAGTGTTGGAACATGACAGAAAAACTAGACATTGTAACAATGGTTGCGGCGCTGGGCTCAAAACCACAGTTTTTCATACTTACATCATCACCCGAAACATACATGCACATGTCCGAGCCACTCTGCATTGGATCCGGCGCATTGGACCTTTGGATATTTTGTGTCATCTCGTGCTGGATCTGTGAGCAGATACCATTCATCAGAACAAGGTATGAAAAGTTAAACTAATTTTAAATGTAGCGCCTAACTTCCCATCACCCACAGCACCCAGGTGGGTCAGCGATGATGATGAATTCCAAGCGCTTTTGGTCCCACCACCAGATCTTCAACACCTGCAGCCTGTGTCGATGGACAAGATCCCGGGCTCACATGTAATACATGTGAGTAATATTATATTCAGTCCATCATCCTAACAAAAACTAGACTATAGGGCCTACAAGGTCAGTCAGAACACATCATGCAACTCGAGGCATGCCTTCTACACCACATCTTGCCATTCCCACATCAACGACAACAGGGACAACAATGACAACAGAGGTGACAATGATAATGGGGACAATGACTACAGTGGCACCTGTGGAACTTCCTGAAGATTCCTCCACCAGGATGATCAACCCAGAAACTCACAAGCAGACATTTGTGCTCTCAAAAGAGCTCATCATATCCATCTTCTTCACTCCAGACACATTGGCATCTCTTTCTGCTTACAAAAAATGTATCATCAAAAAGTTTATTTGTGAAGTGAGGCTCAAAATACCAGCACTTCTCAGTAAGTATTGATACCCAGGCACTGATTCTCTGTCATTAGCTGCAACTCAATGGAACACTAACAATAAAGATATAGGAAAGATCTGGTATGTGGTGACAAAATTTTGCACCGCATTCATGACAATCATCTGTCAAGCCATCATGATGGGATACTCCCTTTTCCCTCCACCGGGATGTGATATCCTACCAGACACCTTTCGCGTCGATCAGGTATGTTACCTCATTGTAGATCATCCATTGGCATTTATGCACCAATACTCATTTGTTGTAAGTTTCTCTTCACCTCCAAAAACACGGTCTCATTTCATTTTGATAGGATGGCGCACTTGTCATTCACATCAAGTTCAACAGTTCATTCATCTTTCTTGTCCTTACCAAGGCTATATGGTGTTCACCCTTCTGACTACACACCTTTCTTGGAGAATCACCACACTGGCAACTACACTATGCCATTGGTGCCGCTGGCACAATCACAGAGTTGGTATTGATAGAACAGGGCATGGTGCAGCTCACAAAGGGTAGGATTACCCCTCAAATAATGTCTCTGACATTCAACAACATTCTTTTGGCCTTAGATGTGCTCAGCGATGATGAGAAGGCTGTTGTAGATGAGTTTAAAGACAGCATGGTCGTTTGCGGGCACTCACAACAGCACATCAATGACGACTTGTCTGATTTTGATTTTCAATAAATGCATACTCATCAATTCTATGTTCACATTATGTAATACTTGTATTAGATGTGTTTTATATATTCACATGGTTATTTTACTACACTGGCAGTTACTTAAGTATCCAAGAATGGTATGATTCTCTCGACTAAGCCAAAATGACCTTTACAAACATACACCCTGAGCTATAGCTTTTGCAAGTTGTTCAGAACAACTTTTGAACTTGCTTAGCTCAGGTAGAATCTTTTAGATGTGTGTATTTAGAGTTTTCTGGAAGTTCCCATAAACAAACATATGTGGAAAATAATTTTCACAGATACTTCAGATGTGTGAGAATCTGGCTGAGTCATCTTTGGGCCAAATAACATAAAATTCATTCCATGCAAAACTCCTGAACAATATTCACTATCACCGCTCAATCATGTACCAGACCAGTTTGGTGCAGGTCACTAGTCTTTTGAAAATTGATCAAAAGACTGGACTTAACTAGAGTTTTAAACCCTAGCCTGTGAGGTCTTACTTGCTGAAGAGTCAGATCTCTACCTTGATGAAGTTGTGACATGGCTAGCTTTGACATGTAACATCAGCATTTCTGTCTCTACACTTTGTTGCAACCTCAAGGAAGCAGGGCTCACATGGAAATTACTCTACAAACTTGCTGTAGAGAAGGATAAAGAATGTTGTCATGAATGGAAGGAGTCAATGCAAACAAATTTTACTGATGATGAGTCAGAATTTGTTTTTGTAGATGAGGTCAGCAAGAATAAGATAATATGGGCTTGCTAGTATGGTAGGGCAATGACAGGTTGATAAACAGCATTGACAGATGTCTTCATCTGTAGAGATTATTATTCACTTGTTGCAGCAATTACAAATGGAAGGCTTCATGGCAGCTCATGCAATGGAGGGCTTATTTGACAGTGAAACCTTTTACAAGTTTATTGCAACCAAAGTGGTAAGTGCTAACTCAAATTTTTTCTTATGTATTTCATCTTGGTTCCTAGCTTCCATACATGAACTCATTCCCTATGGAGAGGTCCATGCTTGTGCTTGACAACTGCTGCATACACCACAATGAAGAACTCTATGATCTTGTCTATAATAATGATGGATTATTATTTGACATTGAGAATTGCTGAAACATTGTAGAGACTCATGCATCTCAATATTTAATATGAGGTGCTTATATTCTTTGTATCAATGAATTATGTAAATAACATCGACTACATGGTTCAAGCATCTTGTTTTGAAGTCTGATTGGTGCATAAAAGATACACAATTCTTACAATTTATTATCTATTATTAACTAGTAGTAAATGCTAAATTTAGAGCAAATAACAAGGATAGCACAAATAAGAAGTTTATCTTTCTTTTAAAAGAAGAACCTTCTTTTAATCCAAAAGAAACCTCCAGTAATTCTTCCACTTTCTCTAAATCAACACTTTTTTTGTTAGCTACAAAGTGTAAACTGAGTAAAGAGTTACTTGTTCTGAGATCATTTCCTTTTTTCTTAGCTATACCTATACTGCATAATGTGTATCTGACATATAGTTTCAAAGGACTAGAAATATCAAGTCAAGTCATTTTATCTGGCTAGTAGATTTCTTTGTTGAATAATATCTTAATGTTTCCTAGATAAATACTTTACATCTTATATAGCAGGGAAATATAAATTAGAAATTAGTATCTATTAGTTATGTAGTATAGAACTACACCAAATTATTCAGCTTGTGCATAGTATACACTTATTTATTATTTTTCTGTCTAGTCAAAGAAAAGACAAGATATTTTGTATCTACATACACTATATTATCTGATTGTCAGATAAACCTAGACTTATATTATTGGACTAAGCTCAATAAAACCATCAGACTATATAGCCGATAACCTTCTATAAAAATGTGTTATCTACCATGAACCTAAGGTTGTTAATAGTATTTAGTTTTATCAAAAGAGTAATTGTAATATTATTGTCTTTTATAAGACAGCTCAAAGAAGAAGACACTAATTAAAAAATGAATTATATCTTGTTTTGTCTAACATCAGGGTTAAATGTTAAACATTCAATAGCATCCAATATAATTTATATACTACTAAATAAGTCTTCATATACGTTAAGCTCCATCTAGTTTTTTCTACATATGTAGAATCTACTATATCATTTTCCTTACTAATTATAGTACCTCTTCACTGAGATATTGTGAAGTATTTGATTTGAAGATATGAATGACAATTTCACTCTTTGCTTTGATATATTATTGAGAAATCTGATAGTTTATATTCATAATATTTTGAAAATAGCCTCCAAGCCTCCTCTGTCAGTGTCTCTTAGGTAGCTGTATCTTCTACTCCTATAGGTTAGTATATTATGTATTAGAATCATCTTACATAAAAATATAAACACATACTGTCAAATTCAATGGATATAATTAAGAAAACATCATTGGCTGTTTTACATCATATACACAAGATTCATAATCATATTGTATTAACCATCTCTCACTCTAGTATTCTGCCTCTGAAGACTGAAAGAAGTTATTTCTAATTTAATTAGATATTTTACTAAAAAATGAGAATCAAAGCATTATGTATAATTGATGTACAATCACTAAATAGAGAAGAAATGCTATAAGACTGCAAAAATCAATAAATCAAATGATTTCTTTTCAATCAGTAATTGTTAAGTATCTAAGATTATCCACTAATAGTCTCTACCTTCCTATGGCATTAAGCCACTTACTATAATTTTTTTTGCTTTAGAATGTCATCTGATTTATTATGAGCTGACTCGCACTCGGCTTTGGCCGAGTCCTAGGTCTGTGCGCATATTTGTCACTGATTGTGACATATGCCTGTGACTAAGTCTCCTAAACACTGGTGACACAGACTTTGTCTCGACTGTCATCAGCGTTGAGCACCCTCTGCTTGCGCACATCCTGCGCCATAATTTAAGCTACTTATTGAATTCTAATTCTATCTTCGAATTCAGGTCGTACCTCCATGTCTAGTTTGCAAAATGTATCTTCCAACACACAAGCATCACTTACAGGACCAGGACAACCAGGGACTTCATCTCAAACCAACATTGGAGGATCGTCTGTTTTCCAACAGGACTTGGTGGAGAAGTGCCTCAGCATCATCGAAGATTTCAAACAATCAATCATCTCAAAACAAGAAGCATATGTCACTATCACAAAGGTTGTCTCAGCCACCTCAAATGAAATCTCAGATCAAGCCGAGTCTTTTATTGCAGCTCCATACTTCGACATGGTTGAACAACTGGTTCAGAGACTTTGACAGGACCAGAGCATTTCAGGAACATGACAGCTGCTTGACAATCTGAGGAAAGAGACCTTGACCCTCCTAGACAGGATGAACATGAGAGAGAGCCCCATGAGAATGAGCCTACCATTGAGCGAGATGAACCAGTACGAAAATGATGCAAACTTGACCTCACCTGTCTTGGACGAGCTGAGCAATCATTCAAAGGAGGTCAGCTCTCGGTCAATCTCACTCGGACCAATGAAATCCTTCTCAACTGGTCACAAGACCCTAAAGAGGTTTGACGAAGGCTCATGTACCACCATTGCTACCCAGAATTCCATGAAGCTGGATGGGCAGAAATCGTCGCTGGTAAATGTGTCAATCTTGACGCCGTACATTCCATCATCTCCTCCTCACGCACTATTGACAAATGCACCGAAACCATTGGTGACATTGAGATCAAATTCTCCACCGCTACTGAGGCAGTCTCGAAGAAGATTACCACCGCTGCTCAGTGGTCCGCAGCGTGGAATAGAGCAGCAAGAGCTATTAAATTCGCATTCCCTCATCAAGAGGATGAACTTGCCACCTATGGAGAATACATCAATGACAAATTTGACCGAAGTGTTGAGCGTGCCCATGAGAGAATCATTAGATTCGACAAAGCAGTCAGGAACAGAGCCGCAAATTCTCACAGGGTTGAATTATTGGACTTCGCATCCTTTGCAGACATATATGAGTCCCATTTCTTATCAGATGGCAGACATCATGAGGAGGACAAGCAGTCGAAGCCTGGTGCATCAGCATGGGATAAGACTACCTTCAATCGACAAGAACCTTGTCGAAAATGGAACTCAGGAGAGTGCACATGCAGTGCTCAAACCTCCCGCTATGCACATGTCTGTTCATATGAGCAAGATGGCAGATTGTGTGCACAATGTCACACTGAAACGAGGCATTTCGAAGAGTTCAAGCCCAAATCCACTTGATCATCCAATCAAACGTCCGCAACATAGATGGGGTCTTATTTGGTCACCTGTGGATATTTCTTTCAGTCCCACTGCTCGCTCTTCTGAATATTCAGATCCTGTTCCTTCTCCACCTTCACATGAAGTCTATCACAGTGATGCTGCTCAGACTATTGCTCGAAGGCCAGACCTATTTCGCATTGTTATACCCATCAATGTTGACCGCTTTGAGGAGCTTCTTATGGATCACCCGAATCAGCCCTTTGTCATTTCTGTTTGTCAAGCTTTGCATCAAGGTTTCTGGCCTTGGGCCGACACCTCTGATGATTTGTATCCATCAATCAATGACAACTCCTCACATACTTGTTCGAAGTCTGATGAACAACTGCAATTTATTGAGGATCAGATGCAAGAAGAAATTTGTTTGGGTCGAGTATCACAGAGTTTTGGAACCGAGCTGTATCCAGGAATGTACTGCATACTGTCCCCAAACCTAATTCTGACAAACTTCACTTGGTTGTAGATCATACTGCAGGCGAGTACTCTCTGAACTCTATGATTGACCAAGATGCCATTAAAGGTACTAAGCTTGATGGACTACGCTTGCTTGGTGCCTCTTTGCTTTGCTTTCAAGAACAACATCCCAAGGTTAAACTTGTCATGTTCAAATCTGATGTCTCACAAGCTTCTCGCTGACTACCTATGCATCCTTTATGGCAGGTCAAGCAGATCCTCACAGTCCATATACTCACACATACCGCTCGCAATCCGACACTCGTTATAAAGTTTCTGACCTATTATTGTGAAGTCCAAAAGTTTAAAATCTCGGACATTGCACTTTGGCTTCGGACATTGGATAAGTACCTTCAGACATCATTGGATTACCTTCGGACATCATTTTGCGCCATCGGACATTTTGTTATTTGCATTACTGACACATTTTTACTACTAATACCAATTAGCAATCCCTTTAGGATTGAACGCACTTGCTCTGCAAGTATAGCAGCATAGGTCGTGCTAAGATCTACCTAAATAATTGTTGTCTAGGTAGTACAATTTCTGCTGAGCCCAGCAGAAATCAGCTTTCTACAATGGTCCAAGCAGCCCATATGGGAAGCTTGGACTCTCGAACGCTTACAATTGGAGCATTCTCTCGCCCTTGGTTGCGCCATTGAATCCACAACAGCTTCGGCCTATGACTCACATCTAAAATCCTATCTGAATTTCTGTCGATTTCATCACCGCGAAGTTGAACCAACTGCCGACACACTTTCTTTCTTTGTGGTGTGGCTATCACATCATATTGAGCCTCATTCTGTCGAATCTTATCTTTCAGGGATCGTTAATCAACTCGAAACCCATTTCCCGCATGTGCGCGATGCTCACATGTCTTTGCTGGTGACACGCACACTGAGAGGTTACAAGCGTCGCTTTTCAAAGCCTGTGCAACATAAACAGCCACTCACACTCGACAATCTTGCTCTAGTTGTGGACACCTTTGCATCATCGACCAAATATGATGACATTCTCTTCGTTGCTATGCTTGTTACTGGCTTCAAAACTTTGCAACGGTTAGCAGAACTTTGCTGGCCTAATGCAAAGAAATATCAATCCTATTGCAAGGTCGCTCTTTGTTGTTCCCTTATGTTGTCCAGCACATCAGCAACTTATACTTTACCTCATCACAAAACAAGCACTCTTGGCATAGGATGTGAGATCTTGGTGTTGGGAGAGCCTCGAGCTAAGGTAGATCCTTTGGCTCTATTACACTGATATGTGCATATTCGTGATTCACGATTTACACACCATCCCCACCTCTGGCTCACTGCATGTGGGATAATACCCACACGCGCATGGTTCATGCGATATCTTTGAAAATTCTTCCCTCCAACTATTTCTGGACATTCGATGCAAGCTGGGGGCACAACTGCCCTGGCTGCAACTGGTGTTGCACCTGCGCTGATTCAGGCAGTGGGATGCTGGTCGTCGGATGAGTTTCAGAAGTATATTTGCAAGCATCCCTATCTGCTTCATCTGCTTATACACGGTTCTCAAAATCCGTAACTTACCAGGATTTGACAGCTCATTAATCTTTTCTCGCTCGTATCTTCATTCAGTATTCTGGTCTCGGTGATCTCATTTGCAGCAAAGTTGTGCGTGTTGCTTATCATCTAAAAGAATTATTAGTTAAAAAACAAAAGAAATTTTTTTTTAAAAAAAAATAGCCCCATAGCGCTCGGTCGAGTAAAACTTGACTTTATTCTCTCCAGTCTGTTTTGGGGCAGTCACCAGTCACCTGGTGACTTGTATACTAGTGATTCACTGAGTTCACAATTACATTTATTTCAGTTACCATATGTACATTCTACTTTCAACAAGCTGTCAATTCCTGGTATTAAAATTGAATGTGGGTCCTCCGAGCATTGAGCTGGAGGACCTCGCTTGCCCTAAACTCACCATACGAGTGCCTATCACCAGTGCAAGTTGATTCAGTGGCAGATAAGAAAGAAATGTTGCAAAAATAAGATACCTTTAGTAGAAGTGATAGGATTAAGGGTGATACATTTTGAGCTGGGCCTATTAACTTCTCATTTTTAGCTAGTAGCTATGATATTTTCCTCATTAGATGTCACTACTCTCAAAGCAGTTCCTCATTTAAGTTCATGGTTATGGTAATATGACCAGGTTAGAAAGATATCGTTTCACTATACAATCCTTTAGTGTGCTTTTACACTTTGTATTAAATGATAAATAATGCAGTCCAGAGATCTTGATTTATGTTGAGTGTTTACTATTGCATGTTCAAAGAATTAGGGTCTAATATAAAAAATGTGATGCCAGCAATTGTTTCCATAAATCCTTCACATCCTATGATGATTTAACAATTGAGATCTACAAGACAGTGAAAATAATTACTAGCCTTAGTAAAATATATCTAGTGATTAATGACAGTAAGTGAGATGTTAAGGCCTACAGTGGGGTGTTATTAGACATTGACATATAGACTAACTAGATGTAACTTGAAGGTAACAACAAAAATTTGAACACACATACCATCACAAATGAATAGTTCTATGACAATAATCAAATGTAGCAGTTATATACTATGTCTTTTTTAACTACATATCCTAGATTAGTGAGTATATAGTAGAACATATTTTAAACCTTATATCAGATCTTAATGACTTTAACCTACTAGTAGGTTAATAAAGCAGATGATCATACTTTTTTAAAATAGAGAAGAGCCTTATACAGCATTCATTGAAATGAAACACATAAATTCTACCTTTATCAATCTGTCTATATCTAAAAAATTGACTATTTTTATATATATCAGTAAGCTCTGTAGAGAGCTATATAGTATTCAAGTGCCACAGTTTGGTGTTTTCTTTGCAGTTCAAGATTTTTGTACAGCCCTGTGCAAACCCTCTCAACAGTGTCATAGGGCTCATAACAACATAACATTGACTAGTAAATAAAACAATGACAAATTCACATATTTAATATTTTTCATTATCAATGACAGGAATTAACTGAAGATTTTACAAAATAGAGCAACAACAGTAGTACATAATGGCCATTAAACTATAGTACCCTCACTTTTCTCTACTCATAATGATATACTAATAACATTTAAGCCTCATAATATTGTCAAGTAAAAATATATAGTCAAACCTCATTAGCATGTGTGAGTGTGAAGGGTGATGAACAATATATGTATATATGTGATGTGGGATTGCATATGAAGATGAAGGGCAATAAGGTATACCAAATATCAGCTAAGTATAGGTGAAGATGTTCACTCTAGCAATGCTAGCTTATGAAGGTGCAATGATGTGCAAACTTGACTGAGAGTTGCGAGATGAGTAATAAATTTCCAAGTGTAGTCTATCTTGGATATACAGAGTAGGTAGGAGGAGAATCAATCCTGTATCTCTAAATGATGTCAGGAATATATATAAAATGGTAAGTTGCACTTGGAGTATAAGACCAATAATGTGATCTAAGTAAGCTAAAAATAAGTATATTTATATGTGACAGGGGTCTAGGTACCACATGAAGTATGAAATCATGTCATTTATGCCAGAGACATGTTAGACTAAAGGAAATAATATGAGAAATGCATCAATTGTCATATACCACTGTAGAAAGCTGATTTCCGCTGCTCAGCAAAAATAGTACTACCTAGACAACAATATTTAGGTAGATCTTTAGCATGACTTATGCTGCTATACTTACAAGGCAAGTGCATTTAATCCTATAGGGGTAGCTGTTTGGTATCAGTTTAGATAGTTAGTTATCAATAATAGAAAGATAATGTGAAGCTAGGAACTACTTGTCCAAAGGGAAACTGTCAGGTCCGAAATTATCAGAGTCAGGTCGGGCATTGGACTGTGCGTCGGACTGTCAGAAATGTGTTGGACAGTAAAGGAATGTGTCAGAAGTATGTTGGATTGTTGGTCAAATGAGTGTCGGATGTTTCAGAATGTTTTGGAGAAAAAGAGTGGATAGATATTTCGCAATACAATCAAGTACTAGTAATATCCAATGACTTCCATCCTACTACTGAGTAGGGAGAAGTAAGTAATGTAATAGGTAGGAAATACTAGATATTATATAGTGACTATGTAGAAATTCAGAGTGCTATAGGCGAGAGTAGTAGTGATATTTCAGGTCTGAAATCCTATGTAATAGGACATGTGGTACTGCAGACTATGAGAAAAGATGTAATAATGCTGTATACAATGCTTAGCAAGTCAAAATAAGTAGATGTGCACCTAGTGGGGATAGATGTAACTGGACAGGACATAGGGAGGACTAGTCTGATGCATGGGAATATTGGATTGGCCGTCAAGTTGGGATCAGACATGCATTGGACTGTTAGAAAGTGCGTCGGGTTGGGATCAGACATGTGTCAGACTGTCAGACTTGGGTCAGGG